TTGTGTCCCTACTGCCACCAGCTGGCCCTGTCATGAAATACTATTGTAGTTAATTAGACACATATATTTTATAATACATTGTTGGCTGCTACATCCCACACTTGAACATAGCCTTTGTGTCCCTACTGCCACCAGCTGGCCCTGTCATGAAATACTATTGTAGTTAATTAGACACGTATATTTTATAATACATTGTTGGCTGCTACATCCCACACTTGAACATAGCCTTTATGTGTCCCTACTGGCCCTGTCATAAAATACTATTGTAGTTAATTAGACACGTATATTTTATAATACATTGTTGGCTGCTACATCCCACACTTGAACATAGCCTTTATGTGTTCCTACTGCCACCAGCTGGCCCTGTCATGAAATACTATTGTAGTTAATTAGACACATATATTTTATAATACATTGTTGGCTGCTACATCCCACACTTGAACATAGCCTTTATGTGTTCCTACTACCACCAGCTGGCCCTGTCATAAAATACTATTGTAGTTAATTAGACACATATATTTTATAATACATTGTTGGCTGCTACATCCCACACTTGAACATAGCCTTTATGTGTTCCTACTGCCACTAGCTGGCCCTGTCATAAAATACTATTGTAGTTAATTAGACACATATATATTTTAGAATATAAACGTATTGCTCCATCACTTTGTGTGTTTTTTTCTGGTACTACCCCCTCATTATCTTTTAATTATGCTAAATTCAACAACTGTTACAATCATGGTATAACATGAAAATGGTCTGTTCACAACACTGATGTCACTACTTTATATCTGGATGCATTTAATATGTACTGTTTAAGAGTGACACAACTGTTGTGTGCACATATTAAAACGAGTTGTTTCTGGCATTACAGAACACTCGACCTTGTGCCGATGACGAAAACTCACTATTTGCCATTTTACAATTTTAAAGCGTTTTTTTGCAGATTTTGAAAGACAAATAGCATCTCTGTATGAAATGCTTTCAATCAGTATATCAAACTGTTGAGTTTATAATAATAACAATATGTTGCAAATCCAAAGCACATATAATACTCAATCATGATCTAAAACCAAACGATTTTAAAATGATGTCGAACAACAACCCTAAAGGAAATCAAGACATGTCCAGGTGAGAACAAGGAAGATTCTATATTTTGTGTTCCATTTTCTCATGATTATTTCTATTTAGAAATATCTCATGCATAAAAACATTTACTTATGAAACAACTTTATTCTTTACTTATTCAAAATCTTTAGATAATAATGAAAACAAAAGAGCACCAGCCTCCACAACTGTCCATGTTATTTCTTCTAAAGACAACTTACTCTTTCGGCCCAGGATACAGACGTCACCGAGTCACCATCAGGAGACAGGTCACACAGCCTCGTCACCTGGGATGTGCACGCACTCCACAGATAAACACACGTCCCTAAGCCTACACTGAGAACGTTCGTTGAAGACCAGTCAACTAGGTTTAGGTAGAAGTCATCCTGAAGTTCGGGAGCATCAAGGACTTTAAAAGGAATTTTTGAGATCTTTCTTGCTGCCTAGAATGAGCAGAAAAAAAGAACATTGTTAAAACAGATGACCAAGTAACCTACTATGTAATAAAGCTCGTTAAACCATTTTACTAATAATGTAAATATACATTGTTTTGAAGTTGCCCGTTCCTTAACAAAAGCTCCAACACGTTATAGAGAGTCTCATGTTACAATAACAATGTAATATTAAAACAATGAAGATGAATGTAGAACAAGTCGATCATCAACCGAAACAAGATATTATTTAGTTAAAGATCTTGAACCTAGAAGACTAATTATGTATGTACACGGAGTAGAAAGGAAGGCAGTAAGTCGTGAAATGGTTTCTGTTGAGTGTCCGTAAATGATGAAAGAATGACAGTTAGGTGTTATTTCATACGTCTCCCAATGAGATCATAATGGAAGTATTACTAATTCTGCCATGATCCCTGTTAAAAGTTCGAAGAACGGAGTTAATAAAAAGAAGGTTAAATCATAACCTTTCTCGGTGACCTTAACAACTTCTGACTTTTGCTACTGACTGGAGATACGGAGTATGGTGAAGAGGATCCACTGTGTGAGTTGCTTCGCTTCACCCGGTACTGTAAATAACAAGATAAATATTTCAAACTTCATTTATTAATCAGACCCATTACTGCCATGACCATCAGGAGTTTTCCTTCCATTTTATTTGTGATTTCAGATGATTTTCTGTTGGATTCCACAGAAAACCTACAACGTGCTGCATGGCATACTGTACAAGTTTACCCCCCAGGGTATAATAGTTCCCCAGGACATGGTGTAATGGGTATTTTACAACTGGAATGATGTTGATACTTTACAACGTTGTTACAGCTGTAAATTACATGCTCTGGGGCACTGTTATACCCCAGTGTCCCGTAAGCTCACATTGTATGCCCTGTGGCATGTCGTAGTTTTTACGTGGAACTAGAGAGAAAATTTAAAAAAAAACTCTCTCAAGGTTTAGCATATAAATACTCTCTGTTTTTAAAAATAAATTTCTGTCTTTCTTATTTAACTGGAAGTTACAGCAGACTTAAAATAAATATCCTTATTGGAATTCAGAAAATATTAATTTTTTACTAGATCCTCAGTTTTAAAAGGTCACTAAATATTGTGGTTTTAATCTAACCAGTATATGTAAAACACAAGTTAATGGTAACCTAGTTTTAGTTCCAATATAAGCCAATCACACTAATCAACATTTCATTAAATACCCAAACTTTTCATGTAGTCACGATACTACACTAGTTTATTATCATGTTTACGGCCTATCTAACTCATTGCTGGTTTCCAATTGTCTGACGTTGCATTATTTCAAGGTAACCCGAAATAAAACACACGTACATAAAAGTCTGAACGTTATAACAATATTACAAATGCTAAAAGTAAAACTCACAAACCTTGTACATTTTCTTTGAGTTTAAAAAACACAACAGGTTTATTATAAAACTGATTCTTTGTAATGTTTGTTTTTAGATAGCCAATAAACATTTTACTCAATTCAACAAACCTGAAAAAGATTTTTCCTATCGGCTGACAAGGATGCTTTTCTTTCTTCCGATTGTTCCTATAGTAAATACCAATTTTCTAAGTTGATTGTCTCTTCATTTCAAATTACACGGCTAAAATACTATTTTGTTTTTTCAATTGGGCCTGCCAAAAATTTAACTTTGTGAATCTGCTTTGTTCTTTAATCTCGTGTCCAGAAAATGAAAAGATTTTTTAAGATCAAGTTATTAGCAGGTATCTTTTATAACTTTCAGTTTTTACTAAAATATTATTTCCTTAGGTATTTATAGCTTAAAAACATTTGGTGTATATTCATCTTAAATCTGTAAATAATTTAAGTTAACAAATACAAGAAAAAAAAAGAACTTGGATAAATGATAATAAACAATAAATTAACACGTCTAGGTGAAAACTTTTTGTAATTTATTTTCTTCGATGTTCTGCTCAAAACGTCACAGAAAATAAACTACAAAGTTTTCATTTAGAAGTGTCAATTTATTGTTTATTATCATTTATCAATATTCATGATTATTTTGTGAAAATACATAAATCAGAAAATTTAACACAGATCATTTTTATACAAGTAGCTAGAGTTGAGTACAATTAGTGGAACTCTATACAAGTAGCTAGAGTTGAGTACAATTAGTGGAACTCTATACAAGTAGCTAGAGTTGAGTACAATTAGTGGAACTCTATACAAGTAGCTAGAGTTGAGTACAATTAGTGGA